CTGCTATTGGCTTGAAAACTCCCTGTACAACAATAAACTTAAGGCACATGTGGATATGCTGCCTAGAAGCTGAAATAATGGTCTTATCTTACACATAATCTCATCTACAAAACTGTATTTAACCAAAAATAGGGGCAGGATCCAGGAACACATTTTTCTTGTTATCAGTGACATCTGTCCTTCCCTGACATCGAGAGCATATTGCTGAAATGGCTTTTTAGGCAGCTCTTGCAAAGACAGATATAGAAAAGTTCTTCCCCCAACTGCCAATGGCAGGAATGAGTGAAGGTACCTGGTTTGGAGAAGATATGGTGCTTACACACAGGAGGCATCTCATGATCCCATGGAGAACCTATGAACTAACAGGACATAATGCTGGAGGGCATAACAAAAAAGTGTGAAATCCATTTTAGGATTTCAGCTCTGGGGAGCTAGAAGGTAGTGTTTTATGACCATGTGGTAATATCCAAAGGCAACTAAAAATTAAGACTTAGTTGGGGCCAGAGCTGGAGATGTTACTTGAAGAATCACATTTATATAACTTCAAAGCTGATCCAAGAGACTAGGAGAGAACAGAAGATCAAGAGAAAATCTAAGGGGAAGTCATGATCAAGGGTTCCAGGGAAGGTAAAAAAATAAATAAATAAATAAATAAATGGCAGTGTGAAAGGTGAACAGTAGCTACCACATGGTACACATTCAGTAAGGGAATACCATACCCTCAGTACTGTACCTGCCACGTGCCAGACAGATACTGGTTACTGCTTTCAATCCATGAGTTCCTAATTCTCCTAACAGGTGCTGTTATTACAGCCGTTTCAAACATAAGGAAACTGAAGCACAGATCAGTTAAGTAATCTAACTCACACACCTAGAGGAATCTGCTCTAAAAAGTAACCATTGGATTTGATTAAATTATCCCCAGGCCGAGAGCAGTTCAATGCTGTGCTGGTGGAAGAAACCAAATTGCAGGACGTTGAAGTACACCAGAGATACCCATCATTTCCTCCCTGTCCACACTCCTTTTTTAGGGAACTTGACATGGAAAGTCTAAAAAGTGCAGGCCTACAAACTGTGAGATACACCTGCATCTCCTGTCTATCCAATTTTCCCATTCCCATCTTCCTCCACCCCAGCCAACTGGACTAGATGTAAATACTAGACCAATTGGATTCCCTCTCCAGAAATTCTAAAACAAAGATTTGGAGATAACCTTTGAGAACCATGCTCCAAAGTCACAGTGAAGCTGTGTTTGCGCCACAGTAACCCAAAGTTTGGGGAAGCAGCAACCAGGAGCTTTCAAGACCGATCTGAAAGAAATTGCAAAAATCAGTTAAGGGCAGAGATACAAGACCATGTGTTTTTGGAGGAAAAATGAAGAATAACTGCCTGAAATCTTTTTGGTTTCCAGGACGCAGAGCTGGAATCACACAGCGGACTTCAGAAGCAGTATTGAAACTGTTACAACAAATGCTTTTTAAAATAAGCTAATTCAACGGCTTGTTGTTCCTTGCAGCCAAATAATCCTCAAGCTATTAAGAGAGGCCAAATGAAAAATACTGAGCAAGCAGCTCCTGTGTGCTTCACATTAACTTTCTGTGATGGGCATCTGAACTCGGGTCAAGGATGAGGAAAATGAGGCTCAAGGATATTAACTAACACATTTGCCCGACTCCAAAATCCAAAGTCTTTACACTGCACCTGATCACCACGCAAGTGTCATTCTCACTGTTCCAGATCACTTCACCACTTATCTCTGTCCCCCATGAAACATTTTCAGACTGATCAGAAAATGCTAACTTTTCTCCTTTATCATGCCAGTGTCTGATCTATACATTCCAAGTGACTATGTCCCCAGGAAATATTAATTTAAAAAAAAAATGAAAATTCATGTATGAGTAGAAGAAGGAAGACACTTAGATCTGACCAGACTATTCTAATAAAACATTTTCCTTTCCCTTCCCCACATCACTATTTTCTTATGCCCTTAATTCATACCCAAAATAAGCTGAGATCTTTCCCTGACCTCTTTTCTTCCAAGTAGTTGATTTTGTTGATAAAATGAAAATCACCTGACACCTGACACTCCCCCCAAAAAAATCAGTACACCTAAGTAACTTATCCTAACCAAAGTTACTTCAATTACCTTTCAAAGTCAAAACAACACCCTAAACACTTGAAATCCTTGCCATAAGGTTATGACAGGCAAAACATTATATTTTCTGAGACTCAGTTTGCCAAGATGTAACGGGAGAGAACTTTTCTAATCTAGACTAGTCATCTCCGCCCATTCACAAAAACACATTTTCTGAGGCCCGCACTGAGGTGTAGGGGGTTAAGCCTCCACCTGTGGCGCCAGCATCCCATAACGGCGCCAGTTCATATCCTGACTACCCCTCTTCTGATCCAGCTCTCTGCTAAGCCTGGGAAAGCACAAGATGGTCCAAGTTCTTGGGCCCCTACACCGTGTGGGAGATTCAGAAGAAGCTCCTGGCATGGGATCAGCTCAGTTCCAGCCGTAGCTGCCGTATGGAAAGTGAACCAGCAGATGGAAGACCTATCCCTCCCTCCCTCTGTCTGTAACTCTACCTCTCAAATAAACAAATTGTTTTAAAGCAACAAATTTTCTAAGTTTTTCACAGCTTCTTCAAGTGCAGACAGAGAATTCCTCTACCCGTTTACTGCCCTTAATGTGTCCTCGAATGTGCTGTCTGAAATGGTTAAAGTTCCTTTTCCAGCAGTAAGTTCCTGAAATTAAAAACACAGTACCATCCTTTTTCCAATCTACAGGCAAAGGAAGACTTCAGCTTCCAGACTCACCCCTGGAGTTCAAAGGCTTCAGAAGGCTCAAGGATTTCTGACTGTTGTTCTGGGTCTTAGGTAACTCTCATAACCTCAACGACTGGGAAATAACTCTTAGACCCTTATCTATCCCATCAACAGTGCAGTTATGCAGGTCCATGTACTAATCACCAGTGCAGCTTGGGAACTCGCTTCTTCCCTCATTCCCTTACATTCTTTAGCTTCTCCTAAATAAATCACTTCATTACAATGACAATTAATTGTGAAACACAAGCTCAACCTCTGGGTCACAGTTCTGCAAAGAGGAACATCAGAAAGTATGAATAACCAGTGTACACAGTGTGGCTGTGTTTTTAAAGGGCTCATTAAATTGCACTATTGCAATGGACATCAACAATGCTGGACAATGCACTGTCATTTACCCTAAAATTATAAACAAAACATTAACAACAAAATCATTTTTTGCATTACTGAGTTCCTTATCTTTTCTGAGTATTTTCCGACATAATAAGATCAGTACCTATCAACCGACAAGGTGGGAAGAAGCTAAGGAAAATTTGGGCGTTTTGCACACGACTGAAAAATTACAAAACTGGAAAGAGAACCGAAATTTTTAACTCCAGTTTGCAAAAGACCATTAGATATGTGTCTCTCAGCAGTATTTCTCACCATGAAATTCCTTAATATCTATGGCTAAACCATCTCCAACTAAGATTCTGGAAGAGAGGGAATGCGGAGGGAAGAATCGTTACCACCCTATACCACTGTAGCGGTTTACATCTCACTATTATTGTCATTTCCCAAAAGTTAAAAGGGGGGGGGGGTATTTTGTCTACATCAGCGTTTTTAAATAAAGCCGTTTAAATGCCTGGAAAAACAGAAGTACGCTCAATCCTTTCGGATTAGTGAATGACCAGCATTTAAGTCACTAACAACCTAGCAGAGAATCTGACAGCAAACTATCGATACTCGAGGAGTCGCTGGATGCGTTCGGTTTCTGTGACAAGGCTGGGGCAGAGCCCGGCTCCGGGTCTCAGGGGTTCTGACAGCGAAGGATGCTGTTCGGGGTCCAGGTGCAACGTCCTTGCCCCGCTGCGAACGCTCCTGTGCGCAGACCGCGAACACGAACCGAGCTCACGCACCGAGGGCCCGGCTCCGAACACCACCGCGGGGTGGACACCGAGCCTGTCATCCACAGGAGCGACAGCTCGGCCACCACCCTCAGGACCCCCGGAAGACCCGTCACGCGCTCGAGGACACCCCCCACCCCCACCTCCTCGGGCCCGCGCTCCTCCTGCCCTCCTCCCACCGCCGGGAGAAGGCGCCGGGCTCGGGCGGCCCTGAAGCCAGAGCTGGGACTGCGGGGAAGGCGGAGGGGCTGGGACGTCGGAGACAGGCCGCTCCATCCATCCCCGCCGCAGGACCCGCCGCCAGCCCGGTCAACGAACGCGCTGCTTACGGCCGCGGGCGAGTCCGCTCCCGGCTCACCTGGCAGCCTCCGCAGCTCACAAGCATGTCACCGGCCCGCAACGCCCAGCCGCGCGAGCCGGCCGAGCAGGCGGACGCCCCCTCCCGCACCGGCCCCCAGCCCTCCCCCCTCCCAGCCCCGCGGCCCGCCCCCGCCCTGCCCACCCCTTCGGCTTCCGCCGCCGCAGCTCCAGCCAGCAACACCGCCTTCTCCCCACGCCTCCCACTCACTCTCGCGAGAGGCTGCAGTCCCTCTCTCGCGAGAAACACCCCGAGGCCAAGCCCGCGCAAAAGTGGGTGGGCTCTTAAGAAGGAAAGGAGGAACAAGAAAAAACCTTCCCACGTGCTGCGAGGCCGCTAGCGGGGCGGCCCCGCTGGTCACATGACGCCGGGGAGGCCTACCTATTGGCCAGAACCCGCTCAGCCGTGGGAGCTTTAAACTCGAGGCTGACCTACGAACCTGCGGCGGACGTCTTGCGCGCTTCCTGGTGCGTTGCCTTGGAAACGGCTTAACCCTTTCCGCTGGCCCAATATCCGGGCCTCGGCTGGTCCCACGGGTTAGGTTTCAGGCCTGCCCCCTCTCCTTCGACCTCTTCGTCTCAGCGCGGGGCGTCAGCTAGGCTCCTTCTTCGCCTCAAAGCTCGATTTGCTGTCTCCTGGAGCCCCGGGCCCCAGCCGAAGCCCCAGCCCCGCTAGATCCGACAGCCCACGACAGGCCCATCCTTGGGAATAGCTCCGCCCCTTCTCCCCAGCATCTCCAGGGAGAACCACTCACAGCGCCCCTCAAGAGTTAGCACCGAGCGGTCTCCGGGCCCTAGTGCTCGCCCTGATGGCTTTACGTGGTGCCTAAAATGGGAAAGTAAAGCTCTGGTCCCTGAGAAGCAGAGCCCGAGATGCATAACTAGTCTGTTGAGTATTTCCACTCAAAACTGGAAGGGCCAAGCACGTCATGCTGTATCCTGCATAGCCTGTGCCCCTCAGGACGGAGATCCTGAGAGATGATAAAGACCCTTTTTTGAGGTGGCTCGTCATCCTAGAGTTCAGTTTTGCCCTGTTGAGGGGAGAGGTGCGGGTAGGAAGGGGTATTCCTGGGTTCATTTCTATGGTCAACAAAGTTTGGTTGAGCTCCTATGAATGGTAGACACTTCTCCAGGCAGGTGATTGAGCGGTAATGAAGCGAGTCTAGGCTACACGGGCTTATCTGAGAGGGGAAAAGAAGAAAGAACACGCAATCCGTTGGTGCTGAGCTTCAGGCAGAGGCGTTAAAACAGTGATGCCCATGCTGACTGGGTGGGAGGTTACTTCCGGGACGGCCCCTCTGGGGAGGAGACACTGGAGCTTGGTGAGGACATGGGGCGAGCAGGTTTCAAGGAGAAGTAGAAATCATGGGCCCTGAATGAAAACCTGTTGTTGCGCATTTGAGGGGGAAAAATGGAAAAGGGGAAACAAGTTTCTCTGGGGAGGTCAACAAAAGTGGGCCAGGTCCTGTAGAGCTTTGTTAGCCAAGAAAGGAATCGGTAGTGCCAACGAGGGCATTGAGGTTTTACATAGTAGAGAGAGCTATACTGTTTTTTTTTTTTTAAGGTCTTCCATGGCGAGAATTGATTTTATGGAGGCCAAAGCAGAAACTGGGAGATTAGGAGACTTGTAGTCCAGGTGAGAGGCAATCATAAAAAATGTAATTTCCAATTATCTTGAAATTGCTGTTCTAAAACCCATTAAGTCGGAGCCTTAGTGCTAACTGCTGCCTTTTCTTAAGAACACGTATTTTGAGTAGGAGAAATAAATGGGATTTTGTTGTTGTAACTTGGAAAAGGGGATGGCCCAGAAGGAAAGGTCCTCCTCTGATCTTCTTCCCTCCATTAATGCCACACAGGTTGCCACCTCCTGTGTCTACTCTTAGAGTCAATCTAAAAAAAAAGACCATAAAATGATGTACCATGTAGAAACTTACTCTTTAGTGTAAAATTCGCTAAGATAGAGGTTCAAGGCTGGAAAAGGAGCAGGCTGCTTCCCTAAAATAAATAGGAATCAGGAGGTTTCACTTCCAACCAGAAGCCTCTCATTTTCTAGTATCACAGCCAGATCAAGGTTCCTTATCATCCTGGAGTCTCAGCTTCCTCATACATAAAACAAGACAACATAACCAGTCTACCCACAAAGTAGTTAAGGCTGAATTACACTTTGGCATGCACACACCAGTAGGACGGAAGCTGGAAAGGGAAATGAAATAAATCTTCATGAAAACCTAACAGAGTCAGCAGCACAAGCCAAATGAAATTGGACTTACACACACACCAGCTGAGGAACTATGAAATTGATTAATACAGATACCAGGAATGCTTTCCTAAGAAATGTTGGCCTTCTCGGAGTGTGAAAACGGAAGCGGTGCCACCTGCTCAACCTCATATTCCCTTTCTCTGGAGCTATTTTGAACCTCTGTAGTATTTAATAAATAATGATTCACATGTTCCTAATCAGGGCTTAAGAACAAGATAGAAAATAAATTTTTAAAAGATCTAACATTGTATCTTAAAGTTTGGCTAGTACCTGAATTTTGATGAAAACAAGATTTCAAGAAACATGATAGAATTACTTTTCGAAAGGAAAAATGCCAGAGAAAAATTATTCTAACAAACGGAGATCATTTGTTTAAAATGCTAATTGAGTACTTTTAAACCTTGTTTACTGCCTTCGTAATGATTAACTAAAACAGCTGCTTGGTACTGCTAATATAGAGGAACAGTGGATTCTGCCATTCTAACATGTATTAATAGAGTTATAAATACTCCAGTAAGACAGTTATTCTGGTCTCTTGTGCTAGGTATGATTACTTGCAATACGATGAATAGAAAGTGAGAAGAAATTTCGGATTGAGACCCAGTTCCATGATGTCCCTAGTTCTTGTATTTTAAAAATTATTTTATTTAGCAGTTTTGTTGAGATATAATTCACATATCATGCAATTCAATGCTTTTTGGCACATCCACAGAATCATTCTATCATCACCAAAATCTAATTTTCCAACAGTTTTCTTCCCCTTTAAAGGAACCCCATATCCATTCAGTCAGTCCCTCACCTCATTCTCAGCCCTAAGCAATCACTATGTCTTGATAAATTTGCTTATTCTGTGGACATTCTACATAATGAAGTGAAGCAATAGATGGTCTTTTGTGTCTCACTTCATAAGCGTAGCATGCATTTTGCAAGGGTCACCATGTTGTTGCATGTATTAGTGCTTCCTTTCTTTTTATTATCAAATAATTATTTTATGCATAGAGCACAGGTTAATAATTTGTCAGATGGTAGACATTTGAGTTGTTTCTACTTTCTGGCCACTATGAATAATGCTGCTTTGAACGTTCATATAGTTGTGTTGTGTGGCCGTTGTGTATTCTTTTTAAGACTTGAAGTATAAAACATTAAATTGGACCAACTTACAAAGTCCGTATTTCTTGTCCTAGCCTAGTCACTTTGTTCCTGGGCTTTGTCTTCTTGCCTGCTGCGTGAAGTATGTGCAGAGGATGGGTGTTCCCACTCAGGCAGTTCGCAGCTGACCATGTCACTCCCCTACTTAGAGCCCTTCTGTGGCTTTGCATGCGTTGCATTCTCCCAATGTCAGCCTACCTGTCTCTTCTGCCCCTCCCTCTTTCAGTTCCTCCTAGTGGGACTAAAACCCTCCTTGCCTCAGAGCCTTCTCATGAGCTGTTCCTTCAGTAGCGAATCTTCTTTCTCTGTCCATCCATCCTAAGCCTCTGAGTGCCCAGGAACCCCTCAGCTTTCAGTTCTGCTCTCATTCTCCCTGCCCCCCAGACTACGGTAGTCCCCTTTATCTAAGGCTCTCCACTATTTCTTCAAAGCAGTTATCAACTTATAAGGATTTTTATTTGTGTGATTATTCTGTTAACTTCCCCTAGAGTATTGGGTCCATAGGCAGGGACTGTTTTTGCTCACCAGTGCCTGGCAATAGTTGCTCAATAACTACCCTGAGGAAGGAAGCATGGAGCAGAGAAGGATGGGAGGGGAGGATAGAAGCTGTCCTCCCAGTCAATTCTATATTCCTAAGGAATCTTCAGTAAAGTCTTGGTAAATGATATCTGCCAGACTGTGCTGTGCTAAGGGGAATTAATGATAAGACCTGCCCCACATGTGGGGTGGTGCATCACAGAAAAACAAGTGTCCTCTACCAATGCAGTGGTGTGTAGAGGAGCCAAGGCTGAGCAGTATGACCAATCAGAGAACACAGGCTTGACTAAGGAACTTAAGAGAACACCTGGAAAACCCAGGGACATTTTGGTAGGCTAATTTCTAGCAATAAAATTGCTAGTGTCTCTTCCACTGTGATTTTGTAATTTAATGGAAATATTTTGAGTTTTGGTCATAGACTAATGGACCCAAGAAATTTGGGTTATAGGTACATGAAAGAATTAACAACTGAAGATGGTTGAATGATTTGTTCTAGATCAGATTGGGCACTAAATGTCATAGTTCAGACTAAAATTAGCTGGTCCTATCTTTCAGTGAAACTAAGCATACTGCATAGAGCTTGGTCTCAGCCTAATCCTTTGACTACAAAGGCAGGCATCATCTTTCCCCAGGAGCTTTGGAGCTTTACACCAGCAGCTCTGGGACAGCCAGAAGCAGATTCCATGCCTCTTCCTGTTTGAAAACTTGTCTCCCTTTGGCCCACTTGCTGAATTCCTGCCTGAGTGATGTTTCCTGCCTGACTGATAGCCCCAGCTGGCAGTTCACTTGTGAGAGGGAGATAGCAAGGCCTTATTATCCACATGGCTCAGTTTCTGGATTTGGGTTTTTATTTTTTAATGCTCATGAATTAATACACTTTATGTAGAACGTTGAAAAATACAGGAAAAGATAATGAAGCAGACTGCCTCTTTTGGTGGTTGCATTACATGCATTATTTAATAGTTCTTAATAAAATAATGGAAAACATTTTGAAAGTAGAAAATGTAGCTTTAGCAGTCCCTGAAATAATGTAAAAATGCTTTGTAGATTTTAGAGACGAAGTTCTTCCATCTTGCCTTTGTTCTTAAGCATGTATAAGCATGTCTGTTGCGTCATAGTTTATATTCTTCAGTAATTCTTTTGTGGTAAGTCTTCTGAAGGGTAGAAACCATCTTAACCACTGCTGTAACATAATATTTAGTAATTTTTAATATACGAAGGCACTCATTAAACTATGAATTCTAAAATCATAACTATACTTATTAGTATATAGTACAGATAATAATTCACAAGTGCCACTATGAATTAAAGAACTCTTAAATGGCAAAATAAATCTGAGTGCTATTATATCTCATAGTCAAATACTTTTTCTTTTCTGATTTAAATCATTATAGTCACAGGTACTTATTGACTTATGCAACTTTTAACATGTGAAGTAACAATGTACCCTCTCAAGAAAATACACGATTGAAATTCAACAGCAAATAATCATGCCTCAGTGTAATTACTTCAGATGAGACTCTCTTTAAATATCATTGCCCTGATGGTTTCAAATGCCTGACATATAGTTAATTATAAAATAAAAGCACAAAATATTATAAAAGTTTATGTTACGGAAATTACTAATTCAAAGAAGTATGAAGGTTATCAAGCATTTAAAAACAGTATTAAGTAAATAGAAAATATAATTTGCAAAATAAATTATACTCAACTTTTAAAAATTGTCTTTTGCAAAAGGTAAGGTAGACTTCTATTTCATATGAGCCCATAACATACATGCTTACTGTTTTTAAAATGGTATCAGATAATTTTCCCTGGATTGCATTCAAATGGCAAGGGCAGTCTTTTGAATATTGTCATAACTTTATGACAGATAAAACAGACCCTGGATCAAGCTGTTCCTGGGTCTGCCATTCGTGTTACTTGGCTGCCTTGCTTTTCAAATGAAACATTAATTTAACATGCAAATAACAACATCCTCGTTCATTAGTTAACTCACATGAAATTCCACAGAAATATCCTTATGTGATTAGATCTTTAGGTGCCAGTCGTGCCCACAAAACATGTCTCCTTCTGGGGCAGGAAGTCATTAAACACTGTTGTAAAAATCTAGGTTGAAAACTTTCAGAGCTTTTAAGATACCTTGAAAGTTTCCTAGACTAAGCTTTAGGATATCTCTGTTCTACTGAGGGTTTTAAGCCTTTTAAACTATGCTAGAGATGTCTGGTCTGCCCCCATAGCAGTTTTGATCCTTATTTGTTTTAGATTCCCTTGGGCCAACTTGAACAAATCCCTCACAATGGAATTTGTGAGATCAGCCAAACTTCTGAAGGGACAGACTAGGATTCCTCATAGCTAATGGTCGTGAATACTGATGTAGCCATCCTCACTAATTTGTTGATTGACCTGCCTACCTCACTTCATAGCTAGCCCAATTTCCATTAAAAGTATGTGGTTATGGCAAAAAAATAGCAAATACAACCATAGGTTTCATGAATACCAGTGTGGTGTTCAGCACAAAAGAAGTGGTGGCCTCGGTCTACTCTGAGCTAAGCAATCCACACCTGTATCACCCAAGTGAGGTAGGACCAGAGATGAGGGCATTCAGGAAGATAGCAAATGTGAAATTTAACCCATGGGTATTTAGACCAAAGAAATTAAGACTTAGAGGGGTATAATAAACTGAAGTTGAAAGGCTATTAAACAAGAAATGTCTTAGGCTTCCTCTCTCCAAGAAAGAAGGCACAGATTTTGGTTCAGTTCTAAGGAAAAAAAAAAATCATTGCTGTTTTAAAAATGGAATGGGTTATCTAGGGCCGGCGCCGCGGCTCACTAGGCTAATCCTCCGCCTTGCGGCACCGGCACACCGGGTTCTAGTCCCGGTCGGGGCACTGGATTCTATCCCGGTTGCCTCTCTTCCAGGCCAGCTCTCTGCTGTGGCCAGGGAGTACAGTGGAGGATGGCCCAAGTCCTTGGGCCCTGCACCCCATGGGAGACCAGGATAAGTACCTGGCTCCTGCCATCGGATCAGCGCGGTACGCCGGCCGCAGCGCACTGGCCGCAGCGGCCATTGGAGGGTGAACCAACGGCAAAGGAAGACCTTTCTCTCTGTTTCTCTCTCTCTCACTGTCCACTCTGCCTGTCAAAAAAAAAAAAAAAAATGGAATGGGTTATCTTTATAAACAATGAGTATCAAATTTCTTTTTATCTAGTTAATAATATTTTTAAAATAACTTTTGTATAGCCCAGTTTTTAAAATATGAAACATTTATTTATTTATTTGCTGAATAAACCGACAAATAGCTCTCCCTTTGCTGGTTTTCTTCTCAAATGCTCCCAATGGCTGCGACTGGGCCCAGCTGAAACCAGGAGCTGAGAACTCAATCCGGGTCTTGTGTGGATGGCAAGGACCCATCACCTTGAGCCATTACCACTGCCTCCCAGAGTGCACGATAGCAGGAAGCTGGATTCTAGAGCAGAGCTGGGACTGAAACCCAGGCACTGTGATTTGAGATGCAGCTGTCCCTACTGGGATCTTAACCACTAGACCAAACCCCAGTCCTGTAGAGCCCAGACTTGAGGCACTAAACTCTTCAAAATATTCTGCTCTTATCTCTAAACAAATTGAAAACTGTTCCTTTTTAAGTATATCCCTATCTCACGTTTGATTGTACAAGTTACTAGCCTTATTATTGCTATAACAAGATTCTTAAAAAGCTCTTGTTATCTTCAAAGAGCATGCCTATAGGCAGAATATTATGGATGTATCAAGATTCCTACAGAGTTCTTATTTAACAGTAAAAGGCCTGTAATTTTCTTTCTCTTTTTCAGATGGTCATTAACGCTTCTGAAACTGGCATATAAACTCCTGATGAAAGTTAAGTCTGCAAGGAAATAAGGTCTGGTAAATCACTAATTTTTATGTTTGGTTTAAAGAAATGGCATTCTTCCCTGGGGAAAAGAACGTTTACACAACATTTACAAGATGCTACTTGAGCTTTAATGTCAAACTCTATGCCCTTCAAATTTTAATATTAATAAACCTTTTATGTAAGTCTTTAAAAAATCTTGAACATTCTCTGCTCAGTTAATTCTTTATGTTATTCTAAGAGTTAAATTTCAGTGGGGGGGGGGGGTCGGTAAGAATCCTCTACTGCAGTTTGCTGAACTGTGCATTATCCTATCTGGGTTCGTGATCATTATCACCTTTCCACACCAGCATCCACTGAAATGCATGCATCTCTGCCTGGTCTCCAGCTACAGTGTCAGCGCTGCTTTCTGTTACAACACCCTTATTAAGATGCTTGAACAACACCATCTCACCAACAGGGAGCCCCCTCTGCAAAAATGGCATTTGATTCTTAGATACCATACAGAATCTGGATACCAGCCCTTCCTGCCAGGGCACAACAAATACTTACATTCTTTGTTTTCAATAATTTGATTCACCACCTCCTGTGGGGACAAAGTTTTGTGAAACCACAATGTCTCATCCTATGACCCAGCATATTTTGGGCCATTTGTCTCTCACCTAGGAAGGGCATTAATAGTTATATTAATAGATCAGGCAAATCCTCAACTTGCCCTCAGAAGTCTCTGTCACAGGACCTGAAATTCATAGAATACTGTCCTGAATTCTTCTCTTTGTTCATTTGTTTACTTTGACCAAATTAAGGTTCTACTTTGGCTCATGACTTCTGCTAGCTCTAGGTCAGAAAGTGAAAGTGATGGAACACAATGATGTAAAGATACATGCAAAAACAAACACCTGCTGGGAGCAACCACAAGCTTTACCTGCCTCCTGCCAAGCATCCAATTTCCCTGGACCACCTTCATAATGGATTTCCTCACTAAGCTCCCTTCCTCTCAGTAATGTAACACCACCTTCTTGACTGTTCCAGTAACAAGTGGCTCACTTCCACTTACGCCAGAGAATCCCCACAGGAGTCACTTGGATCATCATACTGGTCAACTGCCTCCACAAAGGCACCACCAAGACTGCTGTGCTCTGAGGACCCCTCCCTTTACATTCAGGGTGACCTTACACCCAGCATTGTCTAGTATAGCATTTTTTAATCTACTGTCAGCTCTTCTCTTCTTTCTCAAAAATATCTCAGGATATTGTGGGCGTAGTTAAGATGCTGCTTGGGATGCCTGTGTCCCATGTTACGGTGCTTGGGTTTGAATCCCAGCTCTGCTTCCTTTTTTTTAAAAAAAGATTTATTTATTTATTTGAAAGTCAGAATTACACAGAGGAGAGGCAGAGAGAGAGGAGGAGAGAGAGAGAGAAAGGTGTCTTCCACCCACTGGTTCACTCCTCAATTGGTCACAACAGCTGGAGCTGCACCCATCTGAAGCCAGGAGCCAGGAGCTTCTTCCAGGTCTCCCACACGGGTGCAGGGACCCAAGGACTTGGGCCGTCTTCTACTGCTTTACCAGGCCATAGCAGAGAGCTGGATTGGAAGTGGAGCAACCAGGTCTCGAAACGGTGCCCATGTGGGATGCCGGCACTGCAGGCAGCAGCTTTACCCACTACGCCACAGCACCGGCCCTGCAGCTCTGCTTCCTATTCCAGCTTCCTGCTGATGTAAGACCCTGAAAGGCAGCAGGTGATGGCTCAGGTACTTGGGTTTCTGCCACCCACATAGGTCGAGTTCTGAGCTTCTGGGTGCAACCTGGCCTACCTCCAACAATTGTAGGTATTTGGTGAGTGAACCAGTGGACAACCAGTGGACAATCTCTCTGTCTCTATGTGTCTCTCTGCCTTTCAAATTAAAATATATATATATATAATTAAAATTTTAAAATTATATCTCAGTATGGAAAATCTACAGATATCATGTTTATATCATGCCTTAGGCAAATACTTTGTACTTGTCTATCAAAGTGGACTTGTCCCAGGATACCACCCCCAGACGGTAGGCTGGTAAATATAACTGGCTAAACTCAAAAGATGACTCCTCAGTGCCACCCTCCTCCAACTCCAATATAACTAATGGTCACCTCTACTTCCCACTTCTATTTTTAAAACATCATCCATCTTTATCTCAGAACACCAAATATCTGGGAACTACATTTTCTATTTCTTGAGTTTAATTCTCCTGTCAGTGTTTATAACTGTAGCATATATTGAGGAATTGTAAGCCACAAAGGATAACTAGCAGACTTTCTCAGGGAAATTGAGACCTTCAAATGATGAGCCAGTGGTGGTACCCAGGCATGATCCTAAAGGCATATTACTAGTCTCCATAGCATCTTGAGCATTTCTTTGCCTGCAGTTCTTCACAAAGCTACAGGTACCATTCTCATCTTAGCATTTTGACCATCGTACTTGGGATGTACAACTGCAGTTCCTAATGCTGTACATTCTACAGAAAACTTCATTCTACAGAGACCTCTTTTTTTGTTTTTAAGATTTATAAATAATCTTGAAATGCAGAGTTACAGGGAGAGATTGATAGAGAAAGATGGCATTGTAGGTGGTGGCCTAACCTGCTACACCTGGCCCCCATAGGTCCCTCTTCAACCTGCTCAATTAAACTCCTACTCTTCATAGTACTAAAGGATATTTAGGAATACATAGTTCATGTCATTCCAGATTCCTAACTTCACTGGGAACAAATCCAATACTTACACAAATGGAATATCATCAGAAAAAGAAATCTGAGGGCTTGCCACCTCATCTCTGCCTGCTATTTGGGGGTCCTTGGCCACTACCTACAGGGAAGATGTAGGAACTTGTAATTCTGGGATTTCTACTGCAATCTGATCCCTAGAAAATTCTTGAGTCCATGTGGAGGAGGTATCATCACCTATCACCAAACTTCAACTCTGAGAAATTTTGAGAAGACATTTGTCAGGAAGCCTACATGAGATAAAATTCCCCAACCTCGGACTCTGGCCCGTCTCCTGTTTCACTCATTATCTTTCCTTTTACACAACCAGTTTCAGTACCATGCCACTGGAAGGCTGGCAGGACTGTGCCTTGTTTATAATTGATTCCTAAGAGCCTGTCACAGAAGTGGGCAGTGGACATTAACTGGGCAACAGGCACATCTGTGCTGTTCCACGCTACTTTTTAACTCTTTGCTTGAGACTTTTTGCTTGCAAAATGGGGACGAAATAGTGTGTAGCTCTGGGATGGCAGTCAGTAGACTTCAAGGTAATGGAGACTGCAGGTGGGATGTGGTCCTGTTGCTAAAGAGGCTAAGTCAGGTGTGAGCCGTGGACTGTAAAAGGGCAACAAATACAGAGTCTTGTAGGGAAGAAGCCAAGGTAGCATAGAACCAGAGAGAAATCTTCAGAGAGCAGAAGGGTCAAAATACTCAAATACAGAGCTTTTCAAGTGAGCTAAAGTGAAAGGTTGCTAAGCAGATAGGTGCTGTGCAAGTAGCTGGAGGGCATGCCTTCCTGGGTGCCCACTTAAGGGACTTGGGATGTCCTTATCATCTCCAATACAGAGGCTCTAGTTCCAAGAAGTACTGTATCTCTAGGTCTGACAGTGAGGGAAGGTAATGAGAGAGAGCTGGGTCCCAATAAATTTTTATTTTAAGGGCCTGGATTGCAAGAGTGGTTAATTTGATCAGTCTGACACAGGTTAGGAAGGAAATCAGAAAGCTTAGCAAGTGCTGAGAGCTATAAATTTTTGTCTCTCTGAGCTAGGGCTCTCTATTACACACATTCACTGGATCAGGACAGGTTTTGGGCAACAGAGCTAAGTGAAAATCCAGTCTGGAGTTCAGAGTTCCATATCCCAAAGATAGTTCATGAATGCAGCAGGTGTAAAGGATCCAAGGAGACCAGGTGACAAAATAGAGCACCAGAGAATCTAGCCTTAAGAGCTTCTCAGAAATCCAGGCTGACAGGCAACAGGCACTAAGAAAGTATAGCAACAAATAAAATGGCCTCTGTCAGACACTAGTTTGGGAAGAGGGATAGCCAAAGCAAAAGGGCTTCCAATATGGGATCATCTCCTTAGTTACCAGGGAACTCAGGTCCAGAAAAAATAGAGGAATCAAGTTTTGTGAGTCAGGGAACCATATGATCAGATTAGAGATATAAAATAAGAGTTAGAGGCAACATCTGGGTGTTTTATATACCCTGAAAAGGTTTTGAAGTAATAATAATCATAGAGCCTGGTGGGCATAGGGTTGTTCTGCAGGTACAAGATGGAGAAAGAAAGTGGGAATTAGGTAGAGTATAATTTTAAATTATTAAATGTTTAAATATTTAAATTTTAATATTTAGAATAAAAATGAAATAACATGAGTCTTCTTTTAAGAAGCAGAATGTTCCAGATACAGCTAAAGCCCCATTCTCAGAATCTCTTTCCCTTTCCTTTCTCAATGTAGGAAACCACTCCCTTGAAATTGACATAGAATACTACCAAGAGTGTTTTTATATGTTTCCTATATGTGTATGAATCTATGAACAATATGTAGTATTGGCTGAGTGTTTAACTTTTTTCCTGTTTGTGAAACCTCAATAAAGCTTAAAAAGTTAAGTGCAACAGTATTCCCAGAGACTTGCGAATCTGTCTCCTTGCTTCAACAGTGTTTGACCAGAATGGGCCCCATGGCTCATTCTCCCAGCTTGCCATGCCCTCCATTCTCCTCTCCAATTGCAACCTCGAGGACCACTTCCTAGCCATCTTCTGTATCTGGGACAGCCAGCATCATGTCTGGGGTGATCTCGGAGTTGCTGAGCAACCATGACCTCCATCAGAAGTACTTCACTGAGGTGGAGGCTGCTGTCACCCACCTGATCAATTGGCATGCACAGTCCTCCTGCGCAGACCTCTCTCTGGACTTCTATGGACACTGCTCCGGAGGGCCTGGGTCACTTCTCCTGTGAGTTGGCCAAGGAGAAGCACCAGGGCCCCAAGCATGTGTGAAGGTGCAAAACCAGAGTGGCAGCTGCACACACCCTCTTCTAGGGTGTGCACTACAGAAGCTGCCATAGCCCTGGAGAAGAATCCGAAACAGGCCATTTTGGATTTTCATGCCTTGAGTTCTGCCCACACAGGCCATCATCTCTGTGACTTCCTAAGAATTACTTTATGGAGGAGGAGTAAAACTGCTCAAGAAGATGGGTGGTGACCTGACTAAACTCTGTGGGCTGGCAGGAACCAGGTGCCTCCTCGTGGTCTCCCATGCGGGTGCAGGGCCCAAGCACTTGGGCCATCCTCCACTGCCCTCCTGGGCCACAGCAGAGAGCTGGATTGGAAGAAGAGCACAAGGGACTAGAACCCGGAGCCCATATGGGATGCTGGTGCCGCAGGCAGAGGACTAACCAAGTGAACCAAGGTGCCGGCCCTTATTTCCTTAATTTTTAAGCAGTATCTTTCTTACAGTCTAAGGCACATACCTGACAATGTCCAATATTTTTTTGCCTTTGTATTTTATCCTCTGACAATGAGATTTTACTAGCCAAAAATCTTATTACTTCTCTCTCACAGAACACTTGAACAGATTAATTACAGTGTTGTAAACTCATTACTTCATTTACCTTCTGAAAGAGAACACTGACAGCAAATCAAGTGGTTATTATATGTCCTCTTTCAGAATATAAATTATAGGAAATACTTGGAACCCAAAGTCTTCTAATCTGTTATTCTTCAAAAATTCTTATCCAGTTAAAAAATTCATCCATTCTGTATAAAATAAAAGCAATTTTTTAAGTATTCTGTAACGTAGTTAACATCCATAATATATAAAGGACTAATACATTTCCCAAATACTATTGCTCACTAGATTATTTAGATCAGCACAAATATAACTCTTATATGAGTGCAATGCAAGCCATGTATATAGAATTTTAAATTTTTCTAGTGGTCATGTTTTTAAAAAGTTGAGAAACATGCAAAATAATGTTATGTAACCCTAAATATTAAAAATAGTTTAACAATCAATATAAACATTATTGAAACATTTTACATTCATTTTTCATACCCAGCTACAAAGTTCAGAGTGTATATTTAGAAAATTCAGACCAGCCACATCTTGAATATTCAATAGTCAAATGTAGCTAGTGGCTGCTATATCGGACAGTTCAGGTCTGAGCCAATCTTCCTTTGTAACTAACTAAAAATGTTGATTAATATAAATGAAAGCAAGAACCAGAAAGTTCATCCAATCATCATTTTGTTTTAAGGCATTTACTTCATGGTTACTTTGAGCTTTCGTTTTTAATTTTTTTTATATTTGTATTTATTTGAAAAGCAGACAGAAATCTCTCAACTGCTTGTTCACTCCCCAAATGTACACAACACCAGAAGCGGGTCAGGCAGAATCCAGGAGCTGGGTACTAAGTCTCCCACAACTCTTATGTGGGTGACAGGAACCCAAGTACTTGAGCCACCACCTGCTGCCTCTTAGGGTATGTGTTAGCAGGAAGCTGGAATGGAGAGCAGAGCTGGGGTTCAAACTGGGCCCTCTGATATGTGAAATAGGCATCCCCCTTGGTGACCTAACTACTGCCAAATGCCTGCCCTGAGCATTTGGAAAAAGATAGTCAAGCCAGAACCCACTGTCACTGGGCAGTCTAAGGGGACACCTCTGCCCCAGATCTAAAACACAAAAGGGCACACCCCAAGTGTGATACTCCCTCTGGCTAATAAAATATCATGGACCAGGTGGCTTATAAACAAGAAACACTTCTTGCTCACAGTTCTTGAAGCTAACAAGTCCAAAATCAAGGAGTCAGCTGATGAGGTACCTGCTTCTGCATTGATAGATGGCCGCGCCATCTTTTCGCTGTGCCTATATGTGGCCTAAAGGTGAAGGGAACTCTCCGGGGCCCGTGTTAGAAGGGCATTAATCCCATAATAAGGACTGTACCCTCACAAACTCATCACCACCCAAATGCCCCACCACTAAGTACCAACACTTTGGGGGATTAGGTTTCAGCATACAAATTTTGGGGGGTTGGCCGGTGCCGCGGCTCACTAGGCTAATCCTCTGCCTTGCGGCACTGGCACACCGGGTTCTCGTCCCGGTCAGGGCGCCGGATTTTGTCCCGGTTGCCCCTCTTCCAGGCCAGCTCTCTGCTGTGGCCAGGGAGTGCAGTGGAGGATGGCCCAAGTGCTTGGGCCCTGCACCCCATGGGAGACCAGGATAAGTACCTGGCTCCTGCCATCGGATCAGCGTGGTACGCCAGCCACAGCGCGCCGGCCGCGCCGACCATTGGAGGGCGAACCAACGGCAAAAGGAAGACCTTTCTCTCTGTTTCTCTCTCTCTCACTGTCCACTCTGCCTGTAAAAAAAAAAAAAAAAAGGGGGGTGGGCACTGTAGTATTCAGTGTAAAGGTGAACCAGTAGCGAACCCAAGGTGTGGACCTTCACCTCTAGGGGAGAAAGCTACTCTTAATACATTCCCTAAAATCCTGTGAATTAAATAAATTACTCATATAGTAAATTGCTAAGTGCTTGAAATTGGATAATGATGAGATTACATATAGACCCTCCTCAGCATGCTCAGCTCCTCAGGCCTCTGCCCACTGGAGGTAGCACACAGGATCAGTGTGCAATGGCAGGTCTAGTGTTGGAGTTGCCCTCGAGTCTGAGTACCCACTGAATTCCTGAACATCGCTCCACCATGCTGGTCTGCAATGTCCAACTGGGATTCTGCTGGGGTTTCCTAACTACCAATTCCCTTGCTGGGGTTTGAGGCCATCCAGAGTCTCAACTCACTGACTTCCTTTCCCCTGTCCCTTGCATTCCTAGATAAGCAGATGGCCATCTTGAACCTAGACAATGCAGCTGAAAAAATGAAATAGAATATAAACTACTTTGTGGGAGGCAGCTAAAATCAGTACTTAGCAGAGATTTGATAATTTTGCATGCTTTTATTAGTAAATAAATTAAGCATCCAACTCAAGAAGTTAGAATAATAAATCATTACAAATGCAAAATAATAAAGCTCTGACTAGATAGTATTACAGATAATTCTCCCAACATTCAAAGAGCAGATAATTCTATTCTTACACAAATTCTTTCACAGATTAGAAATAGAGGAAATTCTCCCTGAATTCATTTGATGACCTAATGTAACCTTGACTCTGTATAATGTCATGAGCATGGATTTAAGAAGTTTAAACAAAGCATTCCAAGTACCATTCTCTCTTAACTAGTTCAAGTGACATTTATTGAAGAACAGCTAGAAGATAAACTTCGTGTAATGGGCTGGGGACAAGATGCATAATATACAGTCTTTGTCAAGCCGATGCTAACTTAGTGGGAAGATAACTGTGTTAAGAATTATGATGCACGGCCGGCGCCGCGGCTCAACAGGCTAATCCTCCGCCTAGCGGCGCCAGCACACTGGGTTCTAGTCCCGGTTGGGGCGCCGGATTCTATCCCGGTTGCCCCTCTTCCAGGCCAGCTCTCTGCTATGGCCAGGGAGTGCAGTGGAGGATGGCCCAAGTCCTTGGGCCCTGCACCCCATGGGAGACCAGGAGAAGCACCTGGCTCCTGCCTTCGGATCAGCGCGGTGCACCGGCTGCAGCTCGCTGGCCGCGGCGGCCATTGGAGGGTGAACCAACGGCAAAGGAAGACCTTTCTCTCTGTCTCTCTCTCTTTCACTGTCCACTTTGCCTGTCAAAAAAAAAAAAAAAAAAAAAAATCATGATGCAGTGTGTTTGCTCTCGTGGAGGTAAGTAATGAGAACCGAATGTAGTGAGAAGAGAATACCTATGAACTTGTAGATATTTTTGGCAAGTTTTAAAGGGCTCTGTTGGGGGAACCCCTTAAATTGAGTCTTCATGGATGAGGAGGTCTGTCACAGGTGGGTAAGTAACAGTGGTCGAGGTGGGGAAGACAGTAGGAATATAAGTCAAGGTAATGTGTGTGTGTTTACACACATGTGCTTCTGTGTGGACCAGGTAGCCAGGAAAGAATGAGAGACACAGATGAGAAATTTAAAAAAAAAATCTGTGTGTTAGAGAATAGCTTGGAAGCTTTCTTTTTATTTTAACTTGGTACAAAGAGGGAAAATGTAACTTCAGTTAATATCTAACATACTCCATCATTAAAGTTATCAGAGACTGCATAACATATATGAATATGCTTAAAATGAATATAAGCATTTAAATTCACAAAGACAATGGGTTTTTCACTAATTTTGGTTTTTAATTTTCATTCATGCCTATTTTGTCCAATTTATTGTTTTAATATATGGAATTCTACACATAAAATCTGCATCAAGATAATTTCTATCTTGATGAAATTATTTTGCTTTTAAAATTAGGATTACTTCAGACCAAAGAAAAAAGTTAAACATGTTGCCAGCATGGTCTGATCACTTTCAAATTAACTGATATGTTTTAGTAATTTGATTTCCAGTTGGAATTGCATAGTTCACCAAATCATAATGAAGCTAATTAATTATAGTGTTGGATATTAGTTTTTTTGGTTGGTGGAAAATTTGTCATCATAGAGTACTAAGCTCTAGATACTTATGCCTTTTGGCTGAATGATGGTTTACAACTAAAGTAGTCTTGAGATGCTTAATATTATTCTAATTATCATTTTAATGGGCATTGGCTCAGTCCTTTAATTGATGATCACTCTCTGCTGAATTGCTGCAGGGATATGTACTGAACAAATTATAAGAGGTGACTTTTATGTCTGGATTCAGATAACTTTTTATTAATCTGTAATGTAACTGCACTGTGGTAAGAGTCCCCAGCTTGTATGACCGGGATCTTTAAAATTTTAGACAGTTGTTGTATCCTACCATGTAGCATTTTCATGGCTACCACTGATTATCTGTTTAGAAAAGGCTGGGGTGTCCCTGCTAATGCACCTGGGAAAGCAGTGGAAGATGGCCCAAGACCTTGGCTGCCCATCACCCGCCCCCTACCGTCACCCACATAGGAGTCCAGGATGAAGTTCCAGGTTCCTGGCTCCCCCAGCTCCAGCAGTTGCAGCCATTTGAGTGAACAAGAGGATGGAGAGTCAATCTCTCCATCTCTCTCTCCCTCTTCCTCCCTCCTCTCTGTAACTCTGCCTTTTACAAAACAAAGTAAAATCTTAAAAATAAAATGGAAGGGCTGGGGTGAGTGGGGAGACTCGGTCAGATCAGAGACTCCTCAACCTGGCCACATGTAAGAACTGCAGGGAAGCTGATCCACATGGTGTAGTCCCCACCCTTGTTCCCAGAGTCTAGCTCCAAAAGTCTGGGATTGGCCCTGAGAAAAAATTTTTAACATACTTTCCAGTCACATGAGCACTGGAAACTGTTGAACTAGCTCTGTGTTTTTATAAGCTGTAAGTACTATGGGCTGTGACCCGTTAGTACAGGAGTT